TACTACGTTTTAAATTATCTTCAAATTTAAACTTAAATTTATTTATGTTATGTTGTTAGGTAACCACGCAAAACTAATAAAAGTTACTAAAAATGTATTTACACTTTTAAATTTATTTTTTATTTCGAGGACCTTTACATCTAGATATATATTTTTGCTGACCGAAGTTTCGATACTATATTATAGCGTATTGATTGTATTGTGGTTAATGGAAACAATATCCTTTCAATAATGTATTGTAAACATTTCCCATCGGAAAATTGTCTTGAAAAGCAGAGAACAGCGACATTATGGTAGAGTATCAATTTAAATTTTATTATATTACATTTGATTTTCATGTAATGTTAAATGATGCGACATTATTCATTCAATTTGGATGACTAATAATTTTGGTTGCATTATTATGATAATTTCTTTTTATTTTTTGCTGTTTTTCACCTAGTTTTGTTACTGTATTTTTATTGATTACAATATTTTTATTATCTACATCTCACAGCTAAGCTCAACTTTCGTCCATATTCGGCTTTTTTGTGATTCGAGGTAATGTCGATTCCGTCGATGGTCACGAAAATTCTAAGTGACCATTCTGAACATGTTATGCTAGAAATGATCATTTTAAAAAGTTACCTTTTATTACTTTTAATAAATCTCTTTGTCTAAAAATTATTTACAGTTCAGTTGCTTAATGCTCAAATAGTTTTCATTAGCATGCTCTCATTTTAATAACAGATCCCATACTATGTATTTGTTAAAGATGTAATTTATATTCAGAAATGAGTTTTTGCTGCGACACATCCAGCTCAGCTCTAGGCTTCCCGCTCCAGTCCAAATTCACGGCTCGGCTCTCACCTTGCTTGCCAAGACCTTAGCTTAACTCGGTATATCGAAATAACTGAACTGAGCCGTGCTTTTCTGAACTCTACTTACGGTCGTATTCACCAACAACGTTTTTAATCGAGAGTTTTGTAATCCGAGATTGAGTTATTGAACTTTTCGTATTCATTAACACAATCTAACAGTGGATTACGAATTCTTCGAATTGATTGAAGTGACGAGCTGTTACACGTTGTCTGATTTGTCTGAATACTTCATGACGTGTCTACGGAACAATCATGCATAAACTAAACACATGCTTTCAAAGTTTATTAGATAATAGGTTCCAGCGGTGTATTACTTCCACACCGAAGTATTATTAGAATTAGACGTAAACTATAAAAAACATTCTAGAAAATAATAAACAGATGAATAATAGGTATACAGACGAATATAAACAGTAGTAAACAATCGTTGTTTTATTCGAAAATTTGAAAAATAAATACTGTAAAGCATATAAAGATAAAGCTGAAAAGAAAGGAGAGATGTGTTTTAAATTGAAAATCCTGTGATGTAATCGTTAATTAATTCATCACTCGTAGCATTGTTGCTTATTTTCAATTTGTAAGAGCTTAAAATCGTGTAAAAATTAGATATATTTATATTATTTTACAAAGAATTTAAATAGCACATTCCTTAAATCTGTTATTCGAGTATTAACCTTCCGATAATGATAAGTTTAATCATAATTCAGATTTCAGTGTTATATCTACAGTGTGTTTCAAAAGTATCCATACATTGACACAAATCAAGCCCACCAGTAGCCGAATAAATAAAACTATTGAACACTGATAGTTGGTCATTGGTTCGTGCCTGACCACCATGCAGTATTCTGGTTTTTTTCATGTGTCTAAAGCCGTGGTCACACCATGCGATTTCCAGCCGCGCAGACAACTGCAACGGCGACGGCTGTTTCCGTTAACTAATAAACCCCCTTCGAAAACCAGCACGACTGCAACCGCAACTAGAAACAAAAAGTTTGTTCTACTCGCGACGATTGCAAACGCGCATCCAATCAGCAAACGCCTTTGTGCCACGTCATACGGTGACAACATTGAAAATAGTTTATCATCGTGGCTGATAGTTACAGGATTAATACTTTAACAGAATCGAGATTGATCGAACTTATTCAGGCTCATGAATACCTGTGGGATTTTAATTCTTCGTTTTATCGAAGATTTTATCTTTTCGTGTATTCTCGCCAGCTCTATTAAAATAATCGTCTTTTTTCTTTTATTCATTCCAGAAAAGGAAGTGCTTGCTATTTTAATAAGAAAAGTGGCTAAAATTCGTCTGAAGTAAATAAATAGTCTGAAGTAGAACGTAAAATATCGACAAATTCACGAAAGTAGTCAAAAACAAGCTACTGTATTTTTATTGGTTTATTATAGGGTCACGTGTTTCCGAGTTGCAACATCAGCGAACAATGTGTGACCACGAAAAAACGCGCGCGACTCGCGCTTGTTGCAGCTGCGGTCATCTGCGCGGCTGAAAATCGCATGGTGTGAGCACAGTTTAACACCTAAACAGAATCCATTTTCCACATAGGAAATCCTGCTAGAAGTTACCCCATTGGAAGATCACCCATGTGTTTCCGTTTCCTTACTCCGTCAATCTATTGACACAAATCTTAATGCAGACATTTTTTGAATAAAGCTATATTTTACCTTTGTATGTATGGAAACTTTTAGGACACCCTGTAGAATTAAAACGTGATAAATACCGATTTTAATTTAATTCACAATTTAAATCTTACTCTAAATTTAACTTAGGTGTTTAGTACGAATGTCAATGAAAAATATTGTATATTGGCAGGTTTTTATAAAAAAAAATAAGTAGAAATGCCAAATTCATTACATTAATTGAATTCGAGAATTTTTTATTTAATTTCATAATTGTTTACGAATATTATAACTGCTCTATAGAATAGCTGTACTGTTTACGAATATTACAACTGCTCTACAGAATAGCTGCTGAAGCAGTTATTCTGTAGTGTTTTGTATTTTCAAATCTAAATGAAAATATTTAAAGCATAATTAATAATGTGTAAAGAGAAAATGAAAATCAATATACACCGCAGATTTCACTCATCACTAAATCTAATTTATTTCACAATTTATAAAGCTTTATATTTTATCTTTGTCATAAAGCGGCCCCAATGAAATTATAAATCTCATTTTAAAATTAAAAAAATCATTTCAAGCAATAATCGACTGCAATAATCACGCTGTAAAATGAAATGATAACCCTACTTAGAATTCTTCTATCGCACGGAATATTTCAATCTCTCAATTTAGCGTTGACCAATCGAATAGTTCGTCTTCGTCGCTAGCAAACTCTGTTAACAGACTAGCGTTTCCTAACGTCGATATAGTTCACAAGCACAAATTAATTTTTAATATTGCTTTATTATCTTTTATCTCCATTTTAATTGTATTTATTTATCAATGAATAAATTTCATTTGAAATTAAGTGTAAAGTCTGTGTTCAAAATTAGCTGTGATTTTACTGTATTAAAAAAAGTTAAATATAAAATTTTAGAATTTAGATTTAGTATGTGTCTCTTTAATCCGAATTAGTAAAAACGGTAGACTTTCTCTCAGCTATTAGGTTAGGCACTCCTTTATTGCAAATCACAAATGCAATTCGGGCCTATATGAGCCCCTCTTCAGTGTAAATGAATATAAAGCATAAAAGGTAAGTTATAAGTTAAGTTTTTATTGGCGACGATAAGCCGACTATTAAGCTGTCTAGCTATTATTAATTTTACTATTATGTACTATACATTTATTTTGAATTTAAACTCACTACATTATCACTATGTGCTTGCTTATTTTTGACAATTTTTTCGTTATTTCGAATTATTCGTACTTATTAAATTTTTATGCTTTAATCGTTTTCGAATTATTATTGTACTAGAATTAAAATTAATATTTTAAGTTAACTTAATGTGTTTAACTTGTTATTTTTTTCCCATCGAGTAGAGCGATTATTCGAAAAATCAGTGTCCCGAACCGATTATTTCGAATAATTGACACACTATTCTATTTCACCGAATATTTTGATTTTTGTCGTAAACAAATGGTTTTTATTACTTTATCGTTCATTTTATCATTTAAAAAAATTTCAAGTATTATTACTTGAAATTATTACTAAGAATGTGATATTTTTCATATGCTTAGTAATAAAATGTCGATGCAAGTCTACTAGTTACTAGACTGAAAATGTTAAATAACTCTAAGAGCTAATATGTTTCCAAACAAATGACATACTGAAATTCTTTTCCCCATCCATAATTATTAACCTGTTTTCGTGAGGCAGCTGATTTTTCTTGATTTGGCTTCGTTTTATGATCATATGACCTAACCTTTTTTTTTTGATCGGTTAGAGCTACAAGGCTGTGGGTAAAATGATAACGAATTTCCTGGTATAGTTATGTAATAGCGGAGTAATTGTTTCCAATACTCTCTATAACTTCAGTGATCGGATGAGTTATGTTCAATGGCTGCTAATTGTTGCTTTTAAGCGATACACGGAAAGCATATCAAAATTACTATAAAATGAAATTAACTTTATGTTATCCGAGTTTCAATGCTGAAAATTAAAAAAAGAAATTCATAAAACTCAATTTCAATTTTTGGAATTATCAATATTTGCCGAAAACCTTGAATATGAATCAAATCAAATCAAAATAATGCTCACGAAAAATTGATTGAATTTAAAAATATTTTGCAAATAAATATTAAATTTATTCATACATGATTTTAAATATCTAACTCAGTAAACAGGCTAACCATTCTTAATAATGTATGCTTTTTGTGATTAATTTCTATTAATTTGTTGTCTTATATATGCTGCATTTTTATATTTTATAATATACTGTAATACATTTAGTATTCATACATTTATGTTATGTTTTATAGTATTAATAATAATTATTAAAATTACTATTAATTTTCTCTTAAAATTATTTTAATAACAATTTACTAATTAAAATATATCAATTAAATCAGCTCAGTTCTGTTTAATTGTTATATGCCGTTTAAATTAATTGTCTTGCTGGATTCATATGTTGTTATAGTAAATTTTCTGTTTTAATTCTTGATTCATGATTTTTTTTCTTACAGACGTTAGAAGCTTCAAAAATAACATCAAGAAGCATTAAGAGTAAGTTTATTATTTTATAAAATTACATTGATATACGGAATGTTTCATTTATCCTTCATTTATCCTTTCTTTTATTATTTTAATTTTATTTGTAATTTTCATTGTTATTTTGTTTTACATTTGAGTTAATTGAAATTCTTGTTCTATATTCAAGTTAATTTAAATTTAGACACAGACATCATAACTAAATTCTACATTTGGTTATGTTTATCGGGTGGGTCAACTCCAAGAACATTAATAAAATTCATTGTCATCGGATTTAGGTATGTCCTCAAAATTCCAGTCTTCTATTTTAATTAAAAGTAGAAGAAATTTGGTTTGGAAGGTTTGAGTTGTAAGATACAAAGCAAGTTAAAATCATTTAAAAAGAGGCATTTTTCTCTAAATTGGAAACTATTTGTTTATTTTTTGAATTTAAGAATCAAGTATTTAATTTTTAATTACATTTTATCTGTCGATGGAATTTAAAAGCAGAAAAATAATTCAATAGTTTGAGAAATAAGTTTTTTAATTAAAATATGAATTTTATTTGACTGTTATTTAGCATATTACATGTAAGTTCATTTCACCATCTGTGGTGAAATAAACCTGTTAGTATGTAGAACGCTAAGAAATTTCAACTGTTCTTACCAAGGCAGTTCTGAATGGGCTGCAATTTCAAAAAAATTGTAGATCTATATATTCCCACTGTCGTCTGTCCGTCTGTCTTCCCTTAGTCTCCAGAACGGAATTAGATAAAATCTGAGACTAGATATGGAAACCTTAGCGACAGGAGACACCGATTGACTATATACGAACTTCTGATTTGCACCGGAAGTCACGTTATTTTAGTTTAAAAGTTTTCCCCTGCAAGCAGTTAATAGATGACCGGCACGAATCCATTTTTACAGGAAAAGTATAATGTAGAGATGACAAGATACTACTAATTTGAGGTGGAGAGCATATATTTTAAATTAGATAAATTAAAAATATGATTAAAAATTGCAGCCCGACATTGTGACGATGTCACAATAAAAATAGCTTGTTAAAATATAATTTTATAATATTCGTCGTATTTAGTTATCTCTTGCATCTCACCAATGTGTCTTCGCGCATGTTTGAGAACCACTGCCTTATCTTATCCAATTTGTTTGATTCACTTTCAAATAGTTTAATACGTTTATAGCTAAAATTGGTTATTGCTTAAATCGGGTCTTACGGACAAGAATTATCTATCCCGATTATTTTCCCAAAGTAGATTTGACACCGATTGTATAAGAATACATTTTACTAAACTAATTTTAATTGGATAATTATTAGATTCGTTAATATTTTTGGAAGTTTATGACGGAATAGTTTTAGTATGGAACGAGAATTTCTTTTCTGTTTTGTATATCAGAAATGCACATCAGATTATGTACCACAGAACTCCTCTTTACTCTAAAATAATATTAAATATAAACATCTTTATATAATTATAGTAAATTTTGTATTTAAATTTGTTTTTTTAAATTAGAAGTGCCTGATTGATTTTAAAACGCCTTTTAATGGAAAATATACTATCTTGTATCTTAATATTAAAAGATAACATTTTATGTTAATAGTATTTTTATTCAAATTAAACATTAAAATTATCCATTTAGGAATATGTTATTACTTTTTCAGGATTGATTTGAATATGCTCTATTTTGCAATTTATTATTAGTCTATACTTGATTGACGATGATATATTCTTGATAATTAAAAATTTTAATGTGTTTTTGTTGCAATTATATAAAATCATGACGATTTCTCAAAAACGGAGGATAAAAATATTAACTAAAAGTTTCTTCAGACATGTCCAGTAATTTAGTCGAGTGGTTATCAGTCACTTACTACTAAACTATTTCGAGCATAAAAAGTATCAGTACAAGTAAAGTTGAGCATGCAGCCAGATTACTGACATAATAGAGTTATTCTTGCAATACCGAACAATGAATGTTACAGGAAATATTAAATTAATGAACTTGACTAAAAATAATTCTATTTGGAAGTACTTAATTGACTTGTGACCATTCCTCGATCAGAAAAATAGAATTAGATGGATGTACTGTATCAGACTACTCGATTAAATTTCACTGTCCACACAGGGTAAGTTATTGAATTACTGGACGCGTCTGAACGAGGTTAAAACAGATTAAAAACCATTAGTTATTTTAGAAAATGAATTAGAACACAATTATATTTAAGTTTGGTTATACAGACTTCAGTAGATCAAGTTACGAGAAATGAATTACTTAAATAGATATCCCGCGTATAGCATGGTAATTACGTTCCGAAAAAGTGCCGTGTTACGCGAATCCGTGCTATAGAAAACAAAGGACTAGTACAAAACGTAGAGTTAAGTTTCAAAAGTTAGCGAAAGTATAATATTCTTTTTCGTAATTAAAAGAAACACGTTTGCTAATAAAGTGTTGATTACTTTAATAATAAATAAATAAATAACATACTTTTGATTGTCATAATCAAAAGTATTACACGTTAATATTAATTTTTTCTTTACTGCAAAACAGGGACGTTTTTTTTGGCAAAATATCATCATCATCTTCCTCTGATCTTTCTTTCTGAAATATCAGTAACATCTTGATTTTTCTCTACGTTTTTATAAAATATGTTGCTTTAATATTATTGCGTTTGGCTAAGAGAGCTTTAAAAATTTAGTCTTTTTATGCAGTAACTTTTAATTTAATCTATTAAAACGAAACACATCGACAGTTTTTTCGGGTTCATATAGAGCACTACTATCAATGACAGCGACAACTGGTTTATAGGAAAGCCAGAATAGGAATCTAGAACAAGGAAAAATAAAAATTTACAATAATTTTTCATTGAAGAAAACAGGGCGAAAGACAAAAAACAACATTAGAAATTTTAATATTCTAAAATCCATGGGAAAAATAAGACAAGACAGTATTTTGCACTTAAAAATTATTTTCCTCAGTTCTTAAAACAATGTTGTAAGAACACCTTGTTGTACAGGGGATTTTCCGAATTTTCGAACAGTGTTTACGAATGCCATGTTGTACGAGGGATACACATAATATACTATTTATCATTAATCTAGTAATCATTAAATCAAATATAGTAAAACTTCGTTTTGTGGTCATCTGAGTTACGTGGATATTTCACTTATGTGGCCACCCCCAAAATTCAACGTAAAACTGCATAAGTTTTCATATAAATCACACTCATCTTGGTAGCCACTCATTAAGCGGTCTTTTCGCTTATGTTCAAGATAGGAGTGTTCTAAAGTGTCATACATTCTTGTTTACGTGGCTAACTGAGCCGGAAAACCACTCGTTTTCTAAACTCAATGTATTATTTAAAGTGTTCTAGACAGAATTGAGCTTTGCTACTATAGTTTTGGAATATTTTTCTCAGATCGTTCTTACAGCTGATATTCAAATAAAACAAATGTTTAAAAAGTTAAAAGTTTAAAAAAATCGGCTTAGAAAGATGTTTTAAATTCTTTTAAGATATTTTTTAGAAACTCTTTAAAATAAATGTTCATTTACACGCGACAGATTAAATTTATTTCTAGAATTTCGTAAGAACAAAAACAAATATATGTTCAATAATTTATATAAAATCTGATTGTATTTTGTAAAACCTGTGTACAACAGCGATGATCCATCTATGTCACTGAAATGTCACTCGTAACACTATACATATATAATGTTACGATAAAAGTTATTGACCGGTGATTGGTGATTATTCATAAATTTCATCTTAGTGAGTTTGATATCACTAAATTATCCACTTTCACCAACGATTTTACATAATTTCAAAATGAAGTATGTAAGTTTGATGAATAATCGCTGAATATATTATTTGATAAATATGAAATTTTCCATCTTTTGTTGTTTTAATAATGTAACTTGCGGATTTATATAAATTTTAATAAAACGAATTTTAAAAATATATATGTTTTGTTTTATTAATATTAAAATATATTAAAAAATATATATTTTTTTGCTTTATTAATATTAGATTTCCTGAGTATAAGGAATTAAGAAACATTTGTTTCAGCTCAATATCCGAATTATTTGTACAAAAATATCAAAAAATTTGTTGGGAAAAATATAAAACTGGAAATTTTTACTGCTTATTCAAACATGGCAAATAATTGTAACATTTTGAATTACATAATTTATTATTTTTTGTATTTGCATTTGGTTGAATTACACTTTTCTTCCAGTTACATTTGAGCACCTTTTGGTACTTTTGATCTCCTGAAATTGCTGTTTTTCTTGAGCACGCCATAAGAGAGTGAATGATATTTGGTACATTCTCTTGTAAAAAGTTGTTTGTCACATAGCATGAACTGATTTCTGGTATACAATTTTCAAAGACGTCTCTTCTTTGTTTCCAAGTGACAGTACTGATCGTTTTCCATAGCTGATATGACTGCCAATATATTCTGCGGATCTCCTCTTGCACTGTCTTCATACGGTATTCTTAGTTTTACTGTATTACTTAACTACTTTGACTACAGAAAACTTTAGCTCTGATATTTTCTTTATTTTCTTCCCTTGATTTTCTAAATCTGGCTTTGCGTTCGCTCTCTTCTTCTCAACTTCCTTTCCGTTCTTCATCGTAGAAAGAGTAATCACTTCCATACTAGACTGTACTTTGGTTGAGAATCGGATAGTCATATCAGGTTGGTTGAGTGATGGTCGTTCATTTTCAATACTTTTTTCTGAAGTATTTTCATTGGGTCCTTCTAATTGACTTTGATTTTGATTTAGGGATTCAATTATTTTTTGTAGCTTTCCTTCGGTACGAATATCTGCTACAGTATCATTAGGAAGGGATGATCTCTTCACCCCAACTTTCAAGGGTGAACCAAACATTGCTTCATAAGGACTACACAAAATGTTCTGATGATCTTCATGAGTGTTACAAATCGTAGTCCCTCGTTTTAGTGCTGGGTTTGGTTGCTTTCTAACCAAGAGCTAAGCATGTTCTGAACGTCCTGGTTT